GCGTCGGGCTCCCTGCTCGGCGGGAAGCCTGTTTCTCCCTCTCCCACTCCCCCTGCCTGTGTTCCCTCTCTCGCTGTCTCTCTCTGTCAAATAAATAAATAAAATCTTTAAAAAAAAAAATAAAAAAATAAAGGAGATATAATTTTAAGAGAAATGTTAAATAACATCTTGGTGATGTAATCAGAAACCCCAGAACATGAGACATTCTAAGGTCTAACAGTCTAGATTCTTCAGCAAATAAATTTCAAGGGGAAAAAAAGAGGCAAGAGAAGGTAGGGATTAAGAGTCATAAGAGACATAATTAAGCAAATGCAATCATGGATCTTGTTTGGAACTCAAATGTAAAAATAAAATTGCAAGACATTGGAGGAAACCTGAACACTGAACAGATGTTTGATGATATTAAGTAATTTTTGCTAATTTTTCAAGTGTGCTATGGTATTTTGTTTTTATTTAAGTCCTTATTTTTAAACATTTAAAAATTTTGACATCACATCTGAAATATAACTTTCCTTACATAAATTTTTGAAAGATTTTATTAAGTAGTCTCTACACACAACGTGGTGCTCGAACTCACAACTCCCAGATCAAGAATCACACTGACTCACACTGAGTCACTGACAGAGCCAGCCAGGTGTTCCCTTATATCATTATATTTAAAAAATACAAATGCTTTCCTAAATTCCTTAAATTGATGATTTCTCCTGAGAGGGAATTCTCTGATGCTTAATAAGTCTGGAGCCAGGACTGAAGTCATTCCCACATTTGGAACATATACAGGGCTTCTCCCCAGTATAAGATCTGTGATGTATGGTGAGAAATGATTTTGTGCTAAAAACTTCCCCACATTCAGTACATTTATAAGGTTTCTTTCCTGTGTGAGTTCTGGAGTGTACAATTAGTTCTGACTTCCAGAAGAAGGCTTTACCACATTCAGTACATTCACAGCGTTTCTGCCCAGCATGAATTCTTTGATGGTTAGTAAAGGCTATGTTATAGGAGAAGGCTTCCTTGCATTCATTACATTCATAGAGCTTCTCCGAAGTATGAATCCTATGATGAATGGCGAGTTCGGATTTCCTGCTGAAGGAAATTTCTTGCATTCAGAGAAGGATGAAGGTGCTTTCTGGGGTGGCTAAAAGTGCCCTGTATCTTGTTGGTGCTGGTTACATAAGTGAATACATTTGTCAAATTTCATAGCGATTAGGATTTGTGCACTTTACTGTATGTTTTCTTAATATAAAGTTTACTTTGAAAATGTCACTTAAATATGTCCAGCAGCTTGCTATGCATCTTTCTTCATCCTTTAAAAAAATGAAACCTGGGCGCCTGGGTGGCTCAGTTGGTGGTAGTTAAAACAAGTGAGTAATTATGTCAATGTTGTTAGGAACCAAGATTTTCAGATGAAGAAAAGACCCATAAATACAAAATCAAAGAAGTTAAGTAAAAACCCTGTAGTCTTATATTTGAATGGAAAACAATGGTATGAATTTATGATGCATTTTTTTCCTTCTCAAGTACATACCTTTCCTTGCCTTGTCTACTGAAAAATCCTGGAAACAATGACCTACCTGGTAGCAATAAGTAGTTCTAGCACCCAGGTTATGGTCCTTAAATATCATTTCCCACTAAAAGGAGCTAAATCTCTTTGGAGAAAAAGGCACATTCTAAATCTGTGACAAGGAAAAATGTAAATGAGCCTGGAATATCCTATCATCCCAGACAGCTGTCAAAGATTACTGGACACATATCATAGGACACCAGAGCCAAAGTGAAGGGTTCCCACTGGCTAAAGGTAGGGCAATTTTAGCATCAGTAAGGATACTAATGATAATGACCTGAAACACCGCAAAATACTAAAACCCATGAGTTCATAATAATCTTAGCCATTCCCCCCAAAAAAACCCCAAAATAAAAAACAAACTTCATTTGTTACATTTGGATCAATAAAAAGAAAGAATGATATTTTTAGCCTACCTTTCCTGTTTGAAACATACCTTAGGATGAACAAACAGTTGATTAGGGGAGATTCTTCTTTGAAGAAAAATGAAATTAATAAATTCAGGAAGAGGGCGCCTGGGTGGCTCAGTCAGTTGAGTATCTGCCTTCAGCTTAGGTCCTGACTCCGGAGTCCTGGGATGGACCTCCGCATCCGGCTCCCTGCTCAGTAGGGAGTCTGCTTCTCCCTCTCCCTCTGCCGCTCCCCCTGCTCACTCTCTCTCTCTCCCTCTCAAATAAATAAATAAAAATCTTTAAAAAATTAAAAAAAATAAATGCAGGAAGAAGACAAAAATTAGAATATCACTCTCTTGCAATAAAAATCTAGGCAGTGATCAGCAACAGTGTGAAAAGCAACCATGGTGAAAAGCTGATGGTCAGTTTTAATGGATGGATCAGGCTCCACCACCTAAACTCACCCATCAATGTTAACACAATCAAAAGTGAGACAATCTTGGGGTGCCTGGGTGGCTCAGTCGTTAAGTGTCTGCCTTCGGCTCAGGTCATGATCCCAGGGTCCTGGGATCAAGCCCCATGTTGGGCTCCCTGCTCGGTGGGAAGCCTGCTTCTCCCTCTCTCACTCCCCCTGCTTGTGTTCCCTCTCTCGCTGTGCCTCTCTCTGTCAAATAAATAAATAAAATCTTTAAAAAAAAAAATTTTAAAAAAAGTGAGACAATCACATTATATGCCTCCCAGT